GGGGCCGGCCCCGTCCGGCGGGGCTGCCTGCCACGTATGGCGAGTAAGCGCTGGAAGGGTTGAGAGGCAGTCACACCTCACCTCGGGTCGGGTTATGCCCCGAGACCCTCAGTGAGTGCTAGGCCCAGAGAGTGCCAGCCCCGGTACGGTTTGGTTCATAAACGACACGGCGATAACCACACCTGCTGGCAGGACAGGTGTGACCAGAGCACCGAGTTACTCCGCACAGCCTCTGGCATAGCGTGGCATCCTGTGCTCACCTGTTTGGACTGTGGCCGATGGCAGCTAACTGCTACCCTGAGAGCAGAACCTCAGATGAGGAGGATTTTTGTTTTTTGAGAGGTTTTTGCTATAGGGTGCGTTTAAGACACCAGGTCTGGGACTCGAACCATGGTCGACTACATGGGAGTCCAGCTGCATAGCCATTTCTCCAACTGCTGGTCCCAAGGAGGGTTTGTTTTTAACTTGATTTTGCCCTTCTGTGATGGAGAAGTGCATACAGACAGCTCCTCCAGCGAGGTCCTGATGCCACCGTCCTACCCTGTCTTAGGCCTGGCAGGGTCGTGACACTGCTTGGGATTCAGTGGTCTCGGGGCCTGAACTGGGTACCTTCCTTCCCGTGTGAGATAGCCCCGCCAGAGCCTCCCTTCTTCCCCCCCCGCCACTGGCCAGCCCTCCTTTTCCTTTGACCCTGAGGCTGGTAAACAGGTTAACTTCACCCCTGGGGCTGATAGGTTGATAAATTGACCCCCCCACCCCCCAGCAGACAGGGTATTGTTCCCCCGTGGCCGGCAGGCTGGGTAACGTCCCCTTGTGAGCTGTGGTGGTAGCTGGTGGTGCAGCCGCAGGGACCCTGGGCTATACGGTCCTAGCCCTGTCCAGGCCCGAGAAGCAGAGTGTTCAGGGCCCTCCTGCCTCCATAGCCCTCCAGGTGCGTCTGATGTGCTGACTTCTCGGGTGACAGCAGTGCTGGGGGCTCGGTTGTTCCAGCCAGATACTGCTGAGAGGGTGGGGGGGGGGGGGAGATGGGGCTGCTGCACAGCACAGAGGGCTTGACCCGGCATGCCGGTGGTGCCAGGGCCGAGACATGGGTCTGGAAGGTTGCGCAGGCAGCCTCAGCCTGTCCCTGCGTGAGTGCGCAGTGGCAGAAGGCACTGGCACTTTGTGAAAAGGTCTTCCCGGGACGCAGACGAGGACCGACTGGTGAGGTTAACGCTGCTGTGAGCACTTATTCCCATTAAGATCACTTACAAGAAGTGAAAAGGGAAGGACGGTTACCGCTTCTTCCCAGAGTCGGTGTCAGCAGGCGAGCTCAGAGGGGCCGCCGCAAATGGACTTCTGGTCTGTTCTGAGGCCGCGGTTGGAGCAGCCTGGTCTGTCTCCGCACTGCAGGACAAGCGTGAGCAGGCTCTCCTCCCCGCTGGTGTCCGTGGCCCAGGGCCCTAGGACTCACGTGTATTAGCGGCTGTCGTGGGCACAGGGCCGGCACCACCCGCACCCGTGTCGACACTGTGGGCGTGTCTGCCCTGACCTGCTCGTCAGTTCTGTCGGGGCAGGAAGGTGTTAGCCACGCTCAGACAGGCCGTCCTCGTGGCAGTGGCTGACCCACAGGCCCGCCCCACGAAGCCAGGTGGGATCGGGCTGGTTGTGTTGTTGTCGCTGTTTTTATTTGCACCTGCTGGGGATGGGTAGGAGGCGGGCGGATAATGAGGAGTACCCTGGGGAGATGGCCGCGTCGCAGCTGCAGTTCCCTCTCCTCCGTCCTCCCCTGGGATTTTGGGCTCACGCACCCGGCATGTTTTTCAAGCCGCTGTGTCTGGGACTTGAACCACGGAGTTGGCCATGTGGGATCCAGCTGCCTTGAGCACCCTGCCACCTGACCATTCAACAGAACATTTTATGGTTCTTAAATGAATTAAATATAAATACTCTGGATTTCAAGTTGGTTTTTTCTTTTTTGACCCGTCACCAGATGAAATGGCCCTTCTGACCCCTTGCACCTGTGCCTGTTTGCGTACTCAGGAAATGAGCAGGGCTGAGAGCGAAGGCGGGTTCTCTGACTGGCCTGGGTGCCAGGAAGGCCTGGTTCCCACCTTGGGAGGGGGGCCGCTTGGCCGCAGTCGGTGCTGTTCCTGACAGCTGCTTCCCTGTCTCCAGGTTCACTTTAACCGGGATGGATCCTTGATAGTCTCAAGCAGCTACGACGGTCTCTGGTAAGTGAGAGCATTTTCCCTTTAATCGGCAGCTGGGAACTATGCGGACAGAAGGGCGGACGGCCGATGCGGGGCAGATGCGAGTGCAGAGAAGCGTCCCAGCGGTGCAGCTAGGCGAGTGCATTACCTGAGCAGAGTGGTGGGAGGGAGAGCAGAATTTACAGACGCTTGCGCCGGGCAGCACAGCGGCTGAGATCTCGCCAGAATTTGCTTTAATTTTTTAACTTCACTTATTTGTTATTATGCTTTGAATATTTGGCCAAATAGAGACAGAGTGAAAAAGAGAGAAAGGGAAAGTGAGAAAGCAAGCTGCCAGGTCCAGGACTTGAACCGTGGTTGAAAGGTGGGTGTCCAGCGCCTTTAACCACCACGCCACCTGCCGGCCCCAATTTCTGTGTATTTCTAAGATATCCTTTCAGATTTTGAGAGGCAAGAACTTGGAACTCGGCGGATCTGGGTGATATTCTCTGCTGTTTGTCTTGTATTTCCTGCAAATAGAAAATAGATCGATTTTTCTTTGAGTTCAAATTTCCTAACAGAATTATTTGTTTATTATTACCTTTTAAGTTTACCATAGAGCACATGCACATACCAGGGAGAAGCAGAGACAGAGACAGGCAGAGAATGAAGATGAGAAAGTGAGCTGGTAGATCTGGGACGCGAACTGTGGCTGGCTATGTAGGAGTCCAGCACCTTACCTCCATGCCACCTGCTGGTCCCTTTTTAGCACAGATTTCATTTCACAAAAAGATCATGATCCTTCAAGAGAAAAGTCAGAAACACTTTTCTTTTTTAGAGAGAGATCTTTGCTGTAGGGCATGTGCGTTTGCCAGAGAGACAGAGACAGAAAGTGAGAAATCACCTTCTCAGGGGGGATGGCCATGCTGCCATTCCGGCATTTTGGACACACACACGTGCCTGGTCTGAGTTTTAAGCTACCGGGCCTGGGCCTTGTACCATGGTCGACTCTGTGGGAGTCCAGTGACACAACCATTGTGCCATCTGGTTGTCCTGTCTGAAGCACTGTAAAGCTCTCATTCCAGCTCTGCCATCACTCAGCAGGAGGGCCCAGGGTGGGCCCAGGTACTGCAGGGCACCCCTGTGGCAAGGCATGCTGTGTTAATTTTCCAGGCTGACTCCTGTGAGGGTTGGTGGGAGGAGGGATCTATGAGTGCCGGCAAGGCGGCCACCCCAGCACATGGCCATGTGCGTGGACATGCATGGGCCCGGAGGTCAGAGTGGTTAGGGTGCACGGTCCAGCTGCAGCAAGGGGTGGGGTATTAGCACGAGGTCTCTAGGGTGTGCTGTGGCCCAAACATCACCCACACCTGATCGTGTACTTACTGCTGAGGACTGTAGCTCAGGAACGGCCGGTGGCAGGCATGTGGCACGGGGGTGAAGGTAGGGCACGGGCGCAGGTCTGAGAACCCCGACACACTCCTTGTTGCGGTCACCGGCCTGGATGCTCCACGTCTGCTCAGGGGACGTCGTAGTTCCAGGATCGCTTACGGACGTGGCTCTAGACGCCTTGTAAAGTGACGTGGAGAGATGGGACTGGGAAATGACAGTGATTGGGCTGATAGTTAAAACTCTTGGCAGCCCAGTTAGGGAAAAGGCAAAAATAAGCAGGATTCATGCAGAGGGTGAAAGTGTGGGCACGAGCCCTGTGGGGCAGCCCCTGTGGCCGCTCAAGGGCCCACCCATGCTTCCTGGGTTGGCCCATGAAGGGGAAATGGGCCGTCAGCCCAGAGACCGGGCGGCGACTGGAGTGATTTTTACAGTTGTCCCCCATCTGCAAGGGACACCTCCAGGGCCCCAGTAGTAGGACTCTGAGAGCCCTGTAAGTGCAGGTGCCTGTTTCCATCCACACCTGCAGTGAGTTCGGCACGTGAGACGGGCAGTGACAGCTGGGGAATAGCAGGCCCCATGTGCCGTGGTAGAGTCCACCGAGTGTCATGTCCCTCTGGAACATCGGGGACTGCACAGGACCGTCAGGGTCTGCAGATGCCCTGGGCAAATGGAGCCACGGACTGCGGGCCTGACCCATGTGAACCACGCCCACGGCCGGAGCCAACCCCTTCCAGACTGCAGGGAGAGCTGAGGCGCGCCCTGACAACCCGTCGGCTAGCACCCACTGCACCCAGCCCTGTTGCTGGTTCCCCAAAGGACACTGCAGCGGGCAGCTCACTGTGAGCACGATGCCGATGCCAGGGCCGCCTCAGCAAACTGAACCTTGCAGTGCTCGGACAGTGCGTGCTCAGACAGCGCATACCCAGACACGACCACGTGGGGACGCCGTGGTTATTGGTGGAGGTCGGGAAGGCCCGAAGGTCGGCCAACGTCGCCGACTGTCTCTGGGAAGTAGGTGGCGGGTCTCGTGTGAGGAGGGCAGGCAGGGCAGCGCGGACGCCAGCCTGTGGCTCACACCGTGGGTGTGTCTGGTCAGCAGGTACATGGACAGCCCAGCCGTGCAGTTTCTTAAGTTTTAAAGCCACTGGCGATGCGCCTGCTTGCCCTCCTGACCTGGGGCGTGGGCACCTGGTGGTCAACATCTCACTTTTCAGTGGAAACAGGCAGGGAAAGCACTGTCCAGTTGTTCGAGCTGGTATTTGACAGGCCAGGGTCCTAGTCCAGCGTCTGGGCCAGCAGGTCCCACCAGCTCAGTGCATCCTGCCCGTGTGTGCTGAGGTCCATGTTGGCAGACTGACCGTCACCCTCTGCACCAGGGCTGCCGGTGAGGCGGTGGGAGAGGCCTTCTGGGTGAACAGACGGGGGTGCGCTGAGTGCCCAAGAGGCGAGGACCCAAGAGAATGGTGGTCTAGGGTTGGGACGAGGCGGTATGCCATGTGGGTAGTGGCAGGGGTCTGCAGCTGGAGGACTGCACAAACCCACCTCAGTGCCCAGGGCCTCTGCAGCTCAGTGAGTCGGATGCAGGCCCTGCAGCATAGCAAACCCCATGCAGGGAGAGGTGGGAGGGCAGCTGAAGCCCGAGTCTGGTCCTGTCACGGGAGCAGGAGTGAGCGGCGGTCAGGGGACCCGGAGGGCCCTCAGCTGCAGGAGTCCACTCCATCAGGGAGTTAGGGCTGCAGTGCGTCCAGGAGCCAGCACCGTGGGGCTGTGACCCCAGGATGGGTGGTGGGGACACAGTGGGAATGCATGTTCCCTGGGAACCAGCACTGTCTGGGACATGGCTGGGAGTGTGTGCTCTGGAAGTGGGGGTGCAGGGCATAGCGGGGCTGGTCTCCCAGATGTGTGGGTGTTGGCAAAAGGCACACAAACCCTGGAACTGAGTGATGGAAACTCCGGCCCAGTCATCCTGGGACCATCGGCCTTTGCCCCCACTCTCGCAGCTTCCTGAAGGGGGCGTCCACAAAACGTTGCACAGCGTCCTCGGGCTTATCAAGCAAGCCTCGCGTGACTGCGTGCTGTGTTGGTGTGTCTGTGGGGGGGAGCCTGCGAGGAAGCAGTGGGTGGAGTTGGGGTGGGCAGCTTATGGGAGAGAATTCTTGAAATCCCCTTCTGTGTGGCGTGGGCAGACTGCACGAGCCCCTCGAGCAGAGGGGATGATGTCAATACGTGAATGAAGGATGAGTTTAAAACAGCACGGGAGAGGCGGCGAGCTGCCCTGCGGTGCGCGCCCGCCCGAGCTCCTGTGCTCAGGGGCCCTCACCTCTCTCTCTGCAGCCGCATCTGGGACACCGCCTCGGGCCAGTGCCTGAAGACGCTCATCGGTGAGTGCTCCCGTGTCGCCCGGACCTGGTGCTTCTGTGCAGTCTCCCCTAGTCCTCTGCTTCCCTGGGAGCTCCCCCGCCCCTTGCTCCTCCTCACTGCCCCAGGCTGTGCTCTGGGGGACCCCCTCCCGACTGTTAGCAGTTTGTCCTTCTGGGGAGATCTTCCTGCCATGACTTTTCTTCTCTGGGGTCATTTTCATGGCTCCTCAGGCTGCGCCAGGCCTTACTCCGACTGCTCAACACTGCCCTCTGCACCTGAGCCTCCCAGACCGGGCACGAGGCGGTCCGTTGGGCCTTGGCTGCCGTATCGTCCCTGGGATTGGTCCTCGTGTAGGTGGGGCCACGTCCCTGTCCGCTGAGTGCTCCCAAGGTAGACCAGGTGCTCTGGAAGCAGGACAGGCCGAGGTCCCCACACAGCTTGAGCCTGGGGGCTGTGGGCGTGTGTGTGGCACGGGGGCACCCAGAGGGCTGTGAGCAGGAGCGGTCAGTGAAGGCCACCTCTGACCACACCTGGCCAGCCCCGGGAGGGGAGCTTCCCACTGAAAGCCTGCAATAGGAAGGTGCTCTGCGGCCTGCCAGCTCCACCCCTGCCTGGGGGTTGGGCAGTGAGGAAGGAAGCCGGGCCCGCCGAGCCCCCTGGGCCAGCCCTTGGGGACACTGGTCAGGAGCCTGCCCAGGAGCATAGTCCCTTGTGCCATGGGCTGGAGGGCTAAGGCGAAGCAGGAGGTGCCCTGCGTCCTGCGCCTGCCTCTGTGCACGCCCACACCTCTGGGCCCACAGTTCCTCGCCGGTAAGGACCCCGGCCGATTGAGCACCTCCTCAAGCCCTGCCTTCCAACCCTGCTGCCCCCTACGTGGCTGGAGTTGGGCTGAGCATGCATTTGGGGACATGCTTCACCTGCAACAGTGGCCTCTGGGGTCTCTTCATGGGGCCACCCTGTGACACTTGCATCGGTCACTGTGTCCCTCCCAGAGGCCTGGTGTGGCCAGTGCTGCCTGGGGGACAGTGTCTTCCTCCTCCCCTGCGAAGCTCCACAGTCAGGGGGAGCAGGGGGTGCCCACCAGTGTGGTGGCCTCACCTGTCAGTCACTCTGAGTGACAAACGTGGCCCTCACTGCCGCTCTGGACTTAGGGTTGTCTTCGTCATACCGGGCATGGATCCAAGGCAGGGAGGCCGATTAACTAGCCCAAACCACACAGAGAGCACCAGGCCAGGGCCGTACGGCATGGTGGTCAGGAGCCGCCACTCCGCAGGGTCGGGTCCGTCCTCGGTCCGACTTCCCTTGGGGCTGGCGTGTCAGGCCCTTCCGGCGCCCTCAGGAAGGCTGGCAGCCGGGCTCCCCCGGCACTTTGCTGAGGCACCTGATTAGAGGTAGCAGCCCTTCCTGCAGTCGGCCGAGTGAGATGGGGACCTGGTGACCTTCCCGGTGAGCGGGCCACCCAGCAGCACCGGCCTCACTGGTCCCGTGTGCCTTTTCAGTGTGCGAGCCCAGTCTGCGGGAGCAGAGGCCCCGGGTGCCAGGGGGCCCCACCCGGCGTCCCCCCCGTGGTAATCGCGTGCCGCGTCCTCTGGTGCTCGGGACACAGCACGCATGCACACCCTGGGGCCTCCTCGCTGGGTGACCGGGAGCGCACGGCCCACTGGGCCGCACTGTCCCTTGAAGAGCCATATGGGACCTCCGGCCCTTCGTGTTGGCGCCTGCGGGTACAAGGCCTGGGCCGTCTCATGCTCAGGGCGCTGGGGCTGGGCTTCCAGCCAGAGCAGCCGGTGCCGTGTGGCGGAGGGCACCCGGGGCGGGTCTTGTGGGGCAACCA